TGAGTTTCATCAAATTGAAAATTACAATACTGTATAGGTTGCATGCAGGTCTCATTGAGCCACAAGCACAGATGGTTGTGTTTTATCTCACAAATGACTACCGATATGAACACAGCGCTCACACATGCAGAAGGCATGAGCATAAATGGGAATGAAATGGTAAAGTCTAGATTTCGGCCAAACACAATGTATAGCGAGGGTGGAGTGGTGGAGTCATGGTTAGCACACTGCACTGAATTCCAGCAATTTTGAGTTTGATTCACCACTTGGCCACGACTAATATGAGTGGTGCCTGATATCAGAATCTGTCTTGTATGTATGTAGAACTTCTTTCACACCATACGAAGCCAACCGTGCTCATCGAAGGTGAGAGCGAAGGTCTTGGGCGCACCCCCATTCACCAATCAGTACTGACCAACACGGGGAAATAGGGAAAAATAGCCCAATTGACTGACATGGTGTGAGGGAGGCTTTTATCTGGCAGTAGCTTGACCAAGCGCTGCAAATTATAATTTATTTTTAATTCATCGCAATCAAACGCAAATTCACACTCTACTGAGAGAGCAAGAAAGCTTTAGTGATAGTTTGCACATCATACATAAGGTAGGCCTGTAGAAATATAATGTATATTTACGTATTCACGCTAATTGCACCAATTATGTCTGGCCTCTCTTTATATGAACAAATGTTAATATAAATATTTTAGCAGCTATCATGCTGGCAAGCTAAGAAATTCCAGGAATGCTTGATGACATTTTTATTATTATCTTTTTTGTGTGATGACTTGAATTTCTTTGTGCAAAGTAAAATTAGCATTTTTGTTTGGCATTATGTATTTGGCTATATATGGTAAAAAAAAAAGATGGAGATATAATGGGCCCCTGTAAATGATTAATATTTAATTTCACACGGGTATTTTTGTTGTATACTCGTAAAGCTCGCTTCTCTTAACATTCGGATTTATATATATACTGTACACTTTTTATATTCAAGCCAGATCTCCCTTACAAGCCAGGCCTGCACCTAGGATGAATGCTGAAGGATATCTGACAATAAGGTCCTCCCTACCGTCACTAAATCGTTCAATGTGCAAGATCCCTTCAGCGGCCTATCACCTTCCATACTGCTCTGTTCCTCAAGTGGTGATGATGGGCGTCTGCTCTAGTCGACAATGGAGGCCCTTGATGTGCTCTCTCTGCAACGAAGTCTAGTTGTGTTCGGGGCGTAGGAGTCAGATGTCGTTTGTACGCGCTTGTTTCGGCACTTATTATGTGGGTTCTCATCTGACTGTGGAGTCTGATTCTGAACCCGCAGACGCCAGGACATTCCAGACCAGTGGATAACACCAGCGATAGATCAATGGTTGTTGCGATCATACCCCTTCTTTTGGGCTTTTGAAATTCGCTGCCTTTCAAACAGTGACACAAGAGATGTGACATAGGCTTCGCCAACTAGAGCGGTCTTAGATCACTTCTTCCCAACTGTCTACTGGGAGGTGAGATTTCTTTAGGGTGGACTTAATGGCATTCTAATTAGTTGGTCAAAGGAAAACTGGGAAGGTTGCTGATCAAATCGATGATGTCACATCGGGTTGAACTGTTGAGTGTTGGGGGTGTTGGACAATGTATACAGCAGCCAGCAGTGGATAGAGAGTGCATTTAAGATATATATATAAATGCAATTAAGGCGACGCAAAATAAGATGATGCTATTATGCAGTTGACAGAGCAGTGATGAGAGGACTAAACAATATCGCATTATCTACAGGATGCATTACGGAAATTTTAATATGCAGATGTGCTGGTGTTATTATGCAAATAAACACAGTGCTGTTCAGTGCTATCATTGCAGTGGCTGCACCATTATTAACGTTGTAAGAAGCGTGACGACATATTGCTGCGGTGTACAACGTCATTATTTCTACAACTTCATTTGATACTGATGAAGCTAGTTGTAATTACTAGCGAAACGTCGTACTCAGATTGTAAATGTTGTGGCTTGGCTCTCCAACACACCGGTAAGTGCTGTACTAGTGACGAATTGGCCACGTTCTGTTTACGTGACGGACGGGTTTTAACGACACATTTGTATATTTACGCGATCTAACCCAAAATAAAACCTATATTATGGCTTAATTTGATTCATCAGTTATAATGTAATGACGAAGACAATTACTGGCCCGTGCCCTTTAACGAGGCGAGTGACAATCGGCAAGACGCCCCGTGTTTTTGGTCATCTACACAGGGGCCACGGGATTGAACGAGGGCGTTGGGGTCATTGGGGCAATGTTGAGAACATTCTACGTGGGGCATCTGAGTTCGATTCTCAGCCACGGCTCACATCAGTGGCAATGTCAATTTGTGTACCTACAGAATATGCAGTACTTTATTTGAAGTGACTTACATTTTCTATACTTTTAACTGCTATTGTTGTTTTGTATTGTCATTATTAAATCGCTGACAAGCCCCTAATATACATCTGTGAAAAAGAGCTTCATAGCTCATCGGATTCTTCCAGGATCAATTTTCTGATATGAACCACCCTTCACCAACCCACACTAACCAACGCTAAAGTATGGGAGGCCTCAATCCATTGGTGGACTGTGGTTTAATTTTACAGTATTGTAGAACTCATACCTGTCAAACCCTTATCAGTGCCCTACCTTATTAAAGACCAATTCAGACATTATTACTCACCCCGTGCCCTTATAAATGGAGACTTTATCTCTACTAAGTCCCATCACAAGGGAGAAACAGACAAAAAAAAGTTTTTCAGCATTTAAAGGCTGTACGCGGTATGGACCTGAAAAGTCGATTTCCCTATTTCCCTGGACAAGAATACGGAGTAACCCGTCTGGGTTGACAGCTGCGAGAACTCCGTCCACGAAGTCAGCACCGAATTCACAACCACACCTCCCATAGGACTTCTATTGCAATGGTGCCAATACACGTGAGTGGCCACTCCTGTGGCCACTCACGTGTATTGGCACCAGCAGAGAAACTCTCTCCAAGCCACCACTTTATCCTTAAAGTGGTGGCTTGGAGAGAGTTTCTCTGCTGCCCCCGTGACGAGGGCCGTGGCTATTGCGGGTCTATTAGTACCAGTGTTGGGCCATGTTAGTGTAGCTTGCTGTATGTAATTAGTAGTGGTAGTATTATTGGTAATACATTGCTGGGGCCGAGTGAAGGCCGGCTTAAGACACCGCTTGGAATTCCTCGCAGGCACCGCGCGAGTGGCGGGGGCCGTCGGTGCCACGTGACCGGGGGCGGGGCCTGCGGGTGTGACGCAGTTAGCGGAAGGGGCCCTTGGGTGTCACGTGGTGGTTGGGGAGGGGCGGGGCCCGTGGGTGTCACGTGGTGGAAAGGGAGTGGGGGGCCTGTGTCACGTGGTGGGAAGGAAGGACCGACCTGTAGGTGTCACGTGGTGGGAAGAGGCGTGGCTCGTGTGTGGCACGTTCACGTGTACCGAGGGCGAGGCTTGGCCAGTGTCCAAGTGACGTGTTTTTAGGTTTAAAATTAAAAAAAGTTAAATAAAAATAAAATATATTATAAAATATATTTTATATTATAAATATATTTTACTTTTATGCATTTTTATTTTTTACCTCCGTGACTTTACCAAAAAACCTAAAAATATGAATACTTGCAGTCACGAAAAGCTTCAAATCTAGAATCCAAGTGACGTGTGTGTGGGGGCGGAGCCATTCTGACGAGGGGCGGGGACTCGGCATGTCACGTGATGCGTGGAAGAGGGGCGGGGCTGCACTGTGATGGGGGGGGGTCAAGGGGTTATCTATCGATGGGGCGGGGGGAGGGGCTGTCGCGATGGAGATTTGGCGCGAAAACGAGGAGCTGGCGCGCCCCCACCGCGGCGATGAACGGGTTAAAACGGGCGGGAGTCCTGAACAATCTCGCGATTCAGATTCAATCTTTGGACTGCACTCACGGTACAATGCGTCAAATCGTGCCTGGAATAATCCGTGTGATGTGAAGGGCTATTATCAGAAACGTCCGCCTATTGACATGTTTTCCTTTAAAGGCAGTGTTTGTGAGGAATTTGTTGAGTTATTATTACGCGTAAGATAGAATATTTTTTATTAAACAAACCTGTAGGTTCACAGACACTTTGCAACTCGTGTAGCCTGTCCATGCATCGCTGATGCACAATAAAAGTGATCTTGAGGCAAAAAAATCGTCGACACTCGTGTAATGGTAGCCGCCGCCGCCGCTGCTGTTCCGGCTGTGGCGCGCTCAGCCGCTCTCCCGCCTTTTTCGGCTGCCGCTTCCTCCCCGCCCCCCTCGCGCCTCGAGCCCCCACCGGTCGCCTCGCCCCGCCCCCCTCGCGCCTCGAGCCCCCACCGGTCGCCTCGCCCCGCCCCCAAGCTCTGAACTCCGCCTTTTCCGGCCCACCCACGCTCCCGCCCCTCCCCCGTGTCCTTAAGCCCCGCCCATTCTGTTCGCCTCGCTGTCCCCCCCGCCCGAGCTCTTCGCTCACACCCCTTCCGGTCGTCTTTCTCGCCCCCCTCCCGCGTTGTTAGTCCCCGCCCCTTCCGGTTGTCTCGCCGCCCGCGCCCCCCTCCCGCGTTGTTAGTCCCCGCCCCTTCCGGTTGTCTCGCCGCCCGCGCCCGCCTCCCGCGTTCTTAGCCCCGCCCCTTCCGGTTGTCTCCCCCCCCGCCCGCGCTCCCCCCCCCCGCGCTCTTTGTTGCGCGCGCCGCCCTCGGCGTCAATAAACAGCAGCGCGCTCCTCCACCAACACCACCAACAACAACATCAACCACCAGCACAGGATACATTAATCATAGCAGACGTTACCGATGCGGTTACCTCGCGTGACGCGGCGACGTTCGCCATAGCGCGAATGCAGCAAGGCGGTCGTTTATTTTAAAATATTATTAGTCGTCGTCGTAGTAGTGGTGGCAGTAGTCGTAGTTGTGTCGGGAGCCGCGCGGCTCTTACCTGGCGCTGCGGCTCATGCGGCGTCCGCGAGGCGCGATCGAGAAAGCGATACGGCTGTTGAATCGGCGTGGACCAATACGAACGAGTGATGGTTCGTAGTCGTGGCGGGGAGGAGTAGGTTTGTTGGCGAGCACGGGATTTGAGAGGCGAGGTGGAGGAGGCGGAGGCGGTGATGTCCGGGGCCTGCTACGGGCCGAGTCGCGCTCCCGCAGTCGCGTACGTGACCCCACGCACCCAGCCCCGCGCTGCTCTCTCTCTCCCTCCACACTCCTCCATTCACACACTCTGTTCTTCTCGCTATCATCGGTGTGGGTGCCTTCGTGCGAGGTTTGCTGTGAAATGGTTGCGTGTGAAGCGTGGCGATCTGCAACGAGTCGCAGGCCTCGTCTGCCCCGCGCGTGTGTGGGGCACCCCGCCTCGGCGCTGGCTAACATCTAATGTTTAGTGTAACAGCGGGTGTGCTCGTCAAGCGTGGCGACTCGCCTTGCTCGCAATAGAACTCTCCCAATTACTCCCCTTGTTATATTAAACACACTATTGTGTGGTTGTCTTCGCTTGCATGTGGTCACGCTTGGATGTGGTTACTGCGACTGTTGCTGGCGTGGTCGATTTGTCGACTTTGCGTGTCGCTCGCTGCAGAGAGCTGCGGTGCGTCACAGGCCTCGCTCGCTCTCGATTCCTACGCTACGCTTTTTTTTCTTCTCCGCGTCTGCGTTTAATTAGCGGTGGATGTTTTTGTTGTTGTTGCTTCCTCTGTTGTCACCCTCGCAAGTGGTTTAATGGGAATCGGTTGTGGCCGTGTCGCTTGGAACCGTGGCGGATGGGCAAGTGCGTTGCACGCAAGAGGCTGAGGTCACCACCACCACCAACCCACCACCGGTGGCGATGAGTCACATCCTCATGGAAAGGCCCAGATTTTACCACAGACGAGAGAGAGAAGGGGGTGGTGGATCTCGGCCCCCTTGCACACCAGCATTCAAACGACTTATCTCCGTAATATTGTTAACTTTGACCGTCGTGAGACATTGCGGGTGTATTTCACCATTACCGGGGTTGATGTAACCACACATTGCAATGTTTTTTGGATCGCCACCGCTGACTCGCAGCGTCACACAACGTTACAACAGTAAGCACATGTAAGACCAATCATTTATTGTTACTGTACTCAGTTTTACTGATGGCCTGAAACGTGGATAGCTGTATATGGAATCTTTATTGTTGCGAAATACTTCACCTCTCTGTTGTCCACCACATTTAACTTTTATATCGGTAATTATCTTGCTGGCATCACGCACACTTATTTTGACCAAAGAGATTCATCTTGCTGTCATTTAAATCTAAGACCATGACACATTTAACCTTACTCTTGACCCACGTCTAGTTTTACTACTGTCCTCAAAACAACGTGTAACTTTAAGGCTGTATACTCTGGGTTGTATACTGTCGTCGTGGTTTATATTTTCAGTACGTGAACTATTAAAACATGTATCTTAGCAGGTAAGGCCCACTGAGAAAGTTTTTTTTATAAGCAACCTGGTCACAAATGATAGCTTAATAAAGTGGCTTATCACGTGGACATTTATATCAGCCAAATGCTCTGAACGCGTGGTGATGTTGATTCTAATTGTGGAGGGATAAACCGGAGGACCCGGAGAAAAATGCACGCGACCACGGAGAGAACATGCAAAATCCAAATATACAGCAGGGTCTGGATCGAACTCACGACCTCCTGCGTACCAGGCGAGGTAGTAAACATCTGGCCACCGCAACGCTCGAAACGTCGGTGGGATCCCATACACACCGACATATACATTTTGCAGGGGAGATCTCAAATTCAAAGTATGTTATGTACAACATTTCGGTACGGATTTGGAAGAAAAAAGCGTACATTCATAATATCAACCCGTGAGAAATGCATGTTTCTCATAACAACACATACATGTCAATGCATTGTATCGTGTAAACAGATACATTGAAAAAAGGATCAAAGCTCTGGTATAACGCCAGCTCTCATATATCACGCGACCAGATTATTACTTCACGGGCATGTGTGAAAGTGGAAATGAGAAAATAACGTAAAAAGAGAGAATGTACCCTTTTTAAAATGTGAAAGTCCGATTTGACAAGCGTGACATTTTTTTTTTATTATAGCTTCGGTGTATTTATATTTAGAGGGACGAGTGTTTTTTTTTAAAGGCGGCAATTCGTTTGCACAATTGTCTTGCACGTACAACTACCCCGGCTTGTCAATTCACCACTGGATGAGAGCGGGGGGGGGGGGCTGAGTACATAACAATGGAATTTTAACCACTGCCCTCTGCTGCCTGCAGCGCCTACAAAACCTGTTTGTTTGTGCTGGCTGGGCGCCCATTATCCAGGCTCAAAACCTGATAAGCTTTCTGAAGTCTTACGGGGGATAGAACCCATCCCGGGTGATTTTAGTCAGAGGCAATTGTCCCCCTAAACAATTTGTAAATGTAACGTTTCGGAGGAACTTGGAATTGATGTTGTCATCTTTGGCTGGACACGAGTGTCCACTTCATAACGTGAAAGCTAAAGGGCCTTGTGTACGGTATACAGGCCATTAAGAACGCGATTGCACAACAATACGTGCTGTGCTGTGATTAAATGAACCCCTTAGCGGCATGAGTGAGAATTTTAGGCCACGTTAAGTAATAGGCGCAAATACATCCATCAAATCCCTTTTTAACCAGATAAAAGACTATCTTGAGGAAGGACATTCTTGCGAGGAAGAAGGGGGTGGGGGGAGGAAGAATCACAAAGACAAAAAATATAAAACACGAAAGGGTGTGAAAAAAATAGGTTTAGGGGAGACTGTGACACGAAATCTGTAGGTTACAGTATTTGTGACTCGTGGCATTGGCCTCGACTGGAAAGTGGCGTAATTGGGTTTAATGTTACAGCAGCAGGCAACAATAGCCAGCCAGTTCTATAAAGCTAGTACGTCTACTGTGCTGTGTTTATGCTCACAGTGGCATGGATGTGTAACTTTTATACCTGTGTAAAAGTGCTGAAGCTCATGGGTGCACTCGGCAGACAAGCCAATGGTTGAAAACACCTTGTGAATTGTCATCGCCAAGTCAAGAATGTAAGGCACTATTGCAAGGCATTATCATCACGATCGTTTTGCAGTTATAAAATGCAGCTGTATTGCTACCAACTCATGCGAGAGGATGTGCAGGCAGGTTCTCGGTGAATTGGTTTCATTATGGCTGAGTATATTAGCGTACCAGGTGAATGAAATTCTCCCCACGCCTGTCGATTATGGCGGGCGGGGGGGGGTGTTGAAATGTCCTCCAAACTGGTTTGGAGTGGTTTGGTGAAGAAGGGTGGCAGGGCGCATGGACCGCTTCAAATATCATTCTCGGTTGCTGTTGCCGAGGTGGGGAATCAACTTAGTAGGTTTCTGGGTTCATGGTGCAGTGGACTCATCACTGTGCCACCACTCTACTACCCCACCTACACATTAAAGGGGGTTTAAATGGAGCTGTCAGGAGGGTCTGGTTACATTTGCATTCCTCACAGGGAGCCCGCAAGAATGCACTTGCTAAATGTGTGTCGGCACCGCACATTTGTGCTGTAGTGCAGCCACGTCAACGTAACCGTGATGGGCATTATTTATTTTGCGTACAGTACTTTCACATATTCACCGTTGTACAACGTCGCGCACATTGATTTCAAGATTCACGTGGTTGTAGTTGCTGTAACAACAGTAGAATGGCTGGTGCCGACATGAATATTTCACATACCTTTGCCTAACTCAGTACTGTACATTTTATTTTGGAGTACAGTATCAACTGCAAAGTATCACCAATTGCGTGTAAAGTAAGAAGACGTTAAAATAAAATAATCGATTAAACAATGCTTGTTCAACATTCCTGCTTCTGATGGATTCGTATCTTAATTGAGCTTCGATTTGGACTGCATCCTGTTACTGAATTCAGGTTGCTTGTGACTCCCTTGTCAGATTTCCTGATTCCCAAACAGAAAAGCTGTGAGTTCAAATGGTGACCGGTGGGGGGTTATCGGTTTAGCTCATCATCCATCGAGGTTCAGTAAAACGAGAACTGCTCTGTGGGAACTTGACAGCGGTAATTCTCCCGCCAAACGAGCGTCTAATTTCTAAAACACTGTCTCGGTCACCAATGGAGATAAGTACTACTCTAGCTTGTTGTAGCAGGGAGACATGGACTTTGTAATGACCACAAGACACTGTGCAAGCTGATGTTTCTTTTTCATTACAGTGTATGACCCTTGAAGTGCACTTTGGGACCTTGCTGACCACTCATGTGGATTCTTACCACTACATGAGGTCAGTCAATACATGTTTGTGCTGTATTTACATCTCCTGTCTGAATGTTTCATTCACAATGTTATGTGGGCTAAGCCACATTTGTGACCAGCTCAGTTGATAGTCGTTATTGCTCCTACTGAGCGATTCTTTTGTTTGCAGTAAAAATAAACGTTACTGCATTCCAGGCCTCTCTTGGAAATGTCTCCATGCTTGTAACTCATCTGCTGGTAATATATTCGCTTCCTCTTTTAAACTTTTTCTTTTAAATGTAAAAGTAGTTTTATTGTGGTTTCTAAATCGCTGACTTGTTAAAACAAATTTATGGTCAATCTAAACATGTGGTTATATAAAATTATAGCATAACATTCACGGTTAACGTGGATAATGGGAAGGTTTTTGTGAAATGAAATACTGTGCCGTTGAGAAGTGGTGAAGAAAAACATCTGAATTTCCCGTCTAGACAATGGGCTATTGAAGCCTGGATAGTACTCGTAAGGGTGACCCCACCAGGGCTTGACAGGTTTTATAGGTGTGGGGCAGTGGGGGTATCCAGGACACGGCAGTGGCCAGTGTCACCCATTCTCTCGTGTACACGTGGGGTTTTCTCCGTATGCTATGTAGTTTCCTCCCACCTGCCTATACACTCATTACTGGTGTTGCTTAGGGGGGTGAAACGATTCGCCTTCCCAGTGATTTGTTGAATTCAGACTAGTGATTGTGCCAGAATCGGTATTTTTTTGGTCTCTTTTCCTGCGTCATTCGTATTTTCTCACGTTTGTCTGTACCTTTGTACAGTTCACTCTGTGAGCATAAATGTTACATCAACAGAATTTGCATAAGTCAAATAATTATTGATTCTTTTGACATTCAATCCTTGTATTGCAAGGCTTAAAAGTCAATATTAAATGGTGACGCGATGCATAATCACATCCCTAGCAATGACCAAACATCACAATGTAGAAGACCCTCTGGAAAATAACTCGACTATATATTTCCTGAGTAAATAAATGGCATAATTATAGTGTGAAGTTGGCATCCTGGATTTTCATTACAAAGGGGAAATTCATCATTAAAATGTAAAAGATTACCTTGGCTTTAGAAAAACCAACATCAGTTTTAACGTTCATGTGTAAAAATTTTTTTAAACCTGTGCTTATTTTAGCTGCATTACTGCAATACGACAAAGGTGAAAGTATTGGGGAGAAGATTGGGCTCGGTCAGCTATACCCAGACTTGCCTCAAGGTTTTTTTACGTACTTCTTCCTCGGCTGCTTGTAAAAAAAATCCATCGCATGTAACTGTACTCTTCTACCGGAAATAACCTTCTAGGCCAGCAGTGCTCGCAAAACCCCGTTCTTACAACAGTGCCGCATTCCTGCTTTGAATCAACCGAATTCGCATAAGTGCTGTGTGTGCTAATGGCAATATCACATTTTTGTTTTACCTGCTCTGTCACTGATATGTAAAGCTTTGACTGTGGATGGGTGACCCCAAGATTCAAGTTTAAATCCCCTGATTTAACCTATTCTTCCTGTGACCTCCACACAGTTCAGATATTACCTCCTCTTGATGCTTATCCCATTGTAAATCCAAGGCACTGATTCTTGAAGGGGTGGAGCCATTGAAGAAAGAACTGCGAATCCAAACGGCAACCTAATATAAAATGTTCTTCAATAAATGAATGTCTTGAATCCTCCAATATTGCTGGCACCTATATCACAATATTGGCATAGTGCTCGTATAATAGTAAGAAAGACATTTATATGCCCAGGAAACCCTCACAATTTCTCAAAACCCTTTTTACGGAATGTCCTGCATTCCAATGTTTGGTCCGCTAAAACCCTTTTTACGGAAGGTCCTGCATTCCAATGTTTGGTCCGCTAATTTGTAAACGTTTGGTTTGTGAGAGGAAACAAGTACGGCCATTTTCTGGCCACTTTGCAGAGCAAGCGTACAATTTCTGGTGTTCCCAAGCAGTCTCCCATCAAGTGTATGAGCCATGCAACAACCCCGCTTAGTTTCTAAAATCTGATTAGATTCTTCACGTTCTGAGTGATTTGGTAATTAATGATGGAGAAATTTGATAAAAACAAGGACTCTGTGTCAATCCCATTTTGGACAAATATTTCACTTTACAAAGCAAAAGTGAGAAATTTCTGGTCAAATTCTTCACAGATCACATGCCTTGACCAAAACTATTTCACGTTTGGCTTGTGTCCAAACAACATGCAGATACTAAGGATTAAAGTAAACAATTATCATTTTGATGGGATGTGTTTTCTGGAGTTCCATGAAATACAAAAGCCGAGTCCCAGTTAGGTTATGGTGTTCCAAGCCTCAATTGGCTCGCCTTAAGCCGTGACCTTTTTTTAGAAATATTTGCAGCCTTTTTACCCAATAGCAGGTAGAAAAGTTTCCACCATGATGGCAATCGGGCCCTACGAGTGACGATTTCATCTTCAAGCTTCCGTGGCTCAAGTGCCCTTCATACATCTAATTAAAAAAATTATAGGTACAATATGACATACATCATTGAGTATAAATGATGCCATAATACGAAAGGATTTACCGTTGGGTATAGATGTGGTATTTTGAAATATGTAGGGATCTCTTTAAAGATAAGAAAAATGTCCCAGTAAACTGGTTATATGCAATATATTGTACCTACCGTGTGTAAATAATTTCAATTGAAAAAAATAAATGCTTACAAGCTCTGTATGCGGTCTTCAAAAGAGCAGGGGATATACTTTCGCTAGGTCTGACACAAGGAGAATTGTTCTGTACTTCAGTGCCTGAGACCATTAGGGATATGTAACGAGCAATAAGAAACACTTTCTTCAGATCTCATTGCTATGCAGACTGGTGTTCTTATTGGTGCAATTTTCAGGAAATGCATGCATTTCATGTGATGCTGTATTGCATAAACAATTGTATTTATGCCATTGTAGATCTGATGTAAAGAAAAGTGCGTGATAGACACGTAGCAGTAATGCCGCCGATGATGATGGTGCGCCACAAAACGATGTGTTGCTTTTTATAGATCCAATGGATTGGACACAACTTGTCTTGAGGGCATATTACCATTGACACAATCATCATTAGAACAATGCCCTGTAACCACGTGTTGGGATTCACAAAAGGGACATTGTTTGCCATTACTGCAAAAGTGCCCTTTTGAGATGTATCGATAATAAAAACGTTTTCGACCCATTGCAGCATCGCGCCGATGTGGCGACAATTTTACAAAAGAGATGAAACCTGCGACTCGGAATTTTTGCCGAGTGAGCCAGTGTTTTGTCCGCCCTTTATTTTCATCAGAGATAACACTTGAAGAAAAACAGAGGTGGTGCCCATTGCTCTTGGGAAACCTGCTTATTTAGTGAGTAAATAATCGTAAAATACAATGGGATTTTGGAAATAATAAAGCTGGTGCCACATTCAGGAAAGATTTTTGGGGGGGTACAGTTTCAAAGATTGAAGATAAAACATGCTTTAAACAAAGAAAAACGCTTTAATTTGCATACTTTTGTCACCATTTTTTTTATGTCCAGATATTGGATGGCCACTGAAACATGATTTGTACATTGGGTCACCCTGTATTGCTTGGAGAAACAACTCAAAATGCGGAAATTTGTATGCCCCGGGGAAGTTTTTTAATGTATGTGTGTTGAACTTCCTTAGCAGCGTGCTAATCGGAGGTGTGAAAATTATGTGGATTGGGATAAAAAGTATGAAAGGGGCAAAAATTGGAGGTGCATGGAGTTATTTTTGGAAAGCTGAACTTTGTGTATAAAGCAGCTTACCGGTCGGTATCGAAGAAGCAGAACGTTTTCAGTCGGTGCATTTTTCCACTTTGATGTATGAATAAGGAACATTGACATTGACAAAGAAAATGGAACAAAAGCATAAAGCAGCGTGGCAGATTGCATGCTCGGAATCACACTGCGAGAGAAGTGTGTGGATCCGTGAACCAATGCAGATCAGAGCCATTGTATTGACTTGAGAAGGTGAACTTGGCGCATAGCAAATTGAGGAAGAATGATGGCCGAGCCACAAAACTGGTGAAAGAACGGTAGCCAGAGGTGGAAACGTGCTTGAGAGTGACCACCATGGAGATGGAGCGATGCGGTACACCGGAGTGAGATGGATATCTTCACAGGACCATTATTGATGGCAATGACTTTGGCGCATGCCTTCATTTAGCGATGGAGAGACCATGGCTGTTTATTGCTTTTGCATAAGAGTGCCCTGCTTTATATGCATAACACATGACAATCCTGTAATACGCCTACTCGGAATCTGAAATTGATGTACAGTACTTAACAACTGAAACACATTGAACTACCATAGACCGTGGTTAATGAGGCCACCCATTGTTGCCTGTCCATTGCACTTCATGCCAATTGAACGATTCCTGGCATTTCAGTAATATTACATGCATTTACGTAATAGATTTTACACGTTTCCACTGATTGCAATAATTTTCTTTCCGCTGCTAAATATAGGGCAAAACTTGGATGAGGTTGGAAAAACAGACGGAAAATACTTGTGCTAAAATTGACTGTCGCATGTATTTCAGTTAGTTCAGCTTGCTCTCAATGTAATGCTGTCCACAGATACAACACTGCCTGATGGCAGCCTACATTAATAAGTATGTGCAATCATTAAAAGCTTAACCATAGTGTATACCCTATGTCCAGTGGGTGTACAAAAAACTCGTGATTTTAAAAATAATATGTACTGTGGACATACGAGATTTGTATTCAGCTATGAAATTGTATTCCTTCTCGGCAAGTGAAATGTGGCAACCTGGATTAAATGGGCATATTGTGTCTCCGACATCAAAATCTTGAGCATGGCCGTGTCAAACAAGCTTATTATTTTTACGATTGCCAGACAGCTTCAAGAATTGGGGGATCACAAAAATGGTGTTTGTGTATTTAATGGCCAGCAGTCGCATCCTACGACTAAGATTAATGTTTTTTAGCATGGTAGGAAACCTACAGTACTGTCATCAA